GGGATGGAAACACGCCCACTTCATCAATGGCAACACACATTAGCTGTTGCAGTTGGTATGAATTTCTTTAGTACATCCCAATGTCAAGTATGCCGTCACTTGCCTCAAACATCCTTCTTTCACAGGAAAGATGCCTTGACCCTCATTGGTCCCTGTAAATTTCATTTTAGGCTATCAAGGTGCTCACCTAGGCACCTAGGTGCAGGTGGCCCCTCAGACTAATAACCGAATAGGGTATTTTTCGAGGCCCCTTTGGCTATCTGGTCTCCCTGGAGTGTGTAGGTGGCCAGCGTACCGGGCGGCTGAATTTTCAAACAATAAATTCTACTAGTGAGGATAATAAGCACCAACAATAAAATCACCAAGAGAGTTATGCATGGGGTTGGTTGAATGGGTTTGGATGCAATTGTGATGCAGTTACCACTATTGTCCAAAATCAAGCATGCAGCCTCTCACTGTTGAGGAACAGTCAAAGTTCAAAGTCTACTTTTTTTTTTTCCCCTTAGGGGGATCATCTTAATAAGATCAATAAAATAACTTGGAATGTGAAAAATTCTACCCAAAGTTAGAACAAGATTTTGAATTCGAAGTGCCCAAATATATATAAAAAAGAACGTCCTTATGAAGTTTACACTTTTTTTGCTTTCAAACTTGGAAATATTGAAAAGCTGTCATGCAGCTTTAGCTGGGACCCAACAGAAGGCATTAGCTTCCAGCTTCACTTATTTATTATGCCATATCCATTTAATACTTCCATTGGCAGGTTTAGAAATCAAAGGCAGGAGCGAACTAATTAGGATTTGTTTGAATCAAAGAACCCTCAATTTTGTATGCAGAATCAAATGAGTGCATGAGAGAAGGCCTATGTCCTTGAAAAATTTTGACTCAGAGTAGCTATTCAACTGTTTAATGCACACATATTAGAAGAAACCATATATATATATATATATATATATATATTCGCAAATTTTGAATGTAAAGACAAATTTGAACTGCATAACTTACTGGTTACATATACAGAGACTTGCAAATTTCTTCCACTCAGGAGGA